GCCCTAAGCCAGCTCCTCCCACCTACAGAGATGGACCTGGCTGCTCCTCCACAAACACCACCCTGGAGCACAGGAACAGAATTGCCATTTTGGGTTGGCCAAATACCAGGACGTAGCCTGATGTCCTGTCTCCAACAGAACAGATCCCCTGGGCAATGAAAGGAAAAATCCAGCCCACACAGAGTCCTTCTTGATATATCTTCCTACAGTCATCTGTTGGGGAGCTGCTGGTCGCATCCACTCTGCTAGGTTCCACAGGTGCCAGCTGACTTCTTCCATGGAAATTCATCTAATCCTTTCTGGACTTGCTTCATTTTGGAGCTACTCAATAGTCAACATAAATCATTCATCAATACAAGCTTTAGAGCCAACTAGTCGACTCATAATTTTATTCAGGACCACCTACTTCTGTCCTGCAAATGAAATGTAGCCATTCTACACTCACCTTCTTCATACCTTCACAATATCAACTCATAATCCTGCAAATGAAACGTAGTCATTCCACACTCACCTTCTTCATACCTTCACAATATCCTTCCTTCAGTTGTTTCTTTTCCAGGTTGATGGGTCACAAATCCATTTTTCTTTCCATTTTCCTTTTTTTTCCCAGATTTCTGTAAAATTCTTTTTACAGAAACACCCAGAGAAGCCCCATAGTCCATGTTACTCTCCTTGCTTTTGCTGGCACAGCAGCTAGGACTTCATGACACATTTTTTTTTCCAAATTTATGTAAAATTCTTACAGAAACACCCAGAGAAGACCTACAGTCCATGTTACTCTCCTTGCTTTTGGTGGCACAGCAGCTAGGACTTCATGACACTTGTAGGAGGAGGTTCAGATGTTGGTATAACGTTTTCTGGTCTCACTTCAATCTGTTTCCTTTTGCAGACACGACATCAAAATTCCGTACCTGCCAAGAGGAGGGGGGTCATTGTGTACCTTCAAAAATCAAATGCCTGCAAGAACAAGTGGGACTGTGCCCTCACAGAGAATGGAAGTGCTGCACAGAAGTGTAACAAAGTCCTCATGGAATCGCAGAAAACCACAGAAATGCATGGCCAAGAAAACGAACCAGCTTTCTTCTGAGTCTTCTTGAGAAGTTGCCTGGTGTTCTCAGCTGTGAAGTGTATAATTAAGTAGAAGTGACATGTTTCTTTGTATAACAAAGGCAATAAATACCAAATAAACAGGTAAAATAGTTGTATATGTATAGAAAGAGTCAGAATGTCTTTCTATTATATTCACAAACAGAAATCCACAGAAACTTTGCTGTAATGTCCTTGGAAAGCACATAATGCAAACTTCATCAGCCTCCCTTTTCTGTCTTCTTCCTTCCTCTAGAAGCTGATGTCTTCTCCTCTGTTAAAGTGACAGAAGTAAGGATGGTCCAAGTGGCATGGTCACGTCATACCTACACCATTCAACTCCAACTGAGGTTGGCCCTGGCCAACCTCACCTGGAATGGTGCCAGGGATGGGGCAGCAACCACCTCTCTGGGCAGCCTGGGCCAGGGGCTTATTACACTCAGTATCAACATTTTTTTTCTTTCTCTCCAGTCTGAATGTCCCTCTTTTAGCTTAATACCATCACCCCTTTTCCTATCCCAACAGACCCTGCTCAAAAGTCCATCCCCATCTTTTTTCTAGGCCCCCTGGCAGTCCTGGCAGCCCCCAGCAGGTCTCCCCAGCTGGAGCCTTCTCCTCTCAGCTGCCCCAGCCCAACTCTCTCCTGCTGGGCTCCCAGCAGAGGGGTTCCCCCCTCGGGGCATTGCTGGGGCTCCTCTGGCCCCGCTCCAGCAGGTCCCTGGCTCTGCTGTGCTGAGGACTCCAGAGCTGCCCCAGCACTGCAGGGGGGTCTCCCAGAGCTGGCAGAGGGGCAGGATCCCCTCCCTGCCCTGTGCCCACGCAGGGAGCTGCCAGGGGATTCAGGGCTGTGAGCACACGTTGTTAGCTCATGTTTTTCAGCCACAAAATCCATCTTTTGTCCTTGGCTTTAGGGACAGACACCGTTGCCCACAGCTGGATGTTGGTGCCACTTGAGATGACCCAGGGTATCATGCTGGGCTCCCAGAGTGTCTTGTCTGCCTCTGTCACTCCTGCAGAAATCCCCAATACCCAGGCATCCCAAGGGACACAAATTCCCTAAAGGGAATTTTTAACCTCCATCTTTCAACGCTCCAGTTTAGGATCTATTCACACAAACTGTTTGCTGAAGGGACAGCAAACAACAGGACCAGGCAGGGGCAGCAGCCAGGCAAAGGTAGCTGGAATCTATCCCATAATTACCACCAAGTGGAGCATTGCTGAGCTACCTCAGCTACCTCCTCCACCAGTGTTGTGTGCTCATCTCGCTCAGGAATGAAACCTCCCAAATTCCTCAGAAGCCAAAGCTGGAATGGCCTTTTGGGCAGGGAAAAAAAAAATCACACCCAGGTTTCAGCTGGAGGAAAATATTCACAGGAGCTCAGATTAAAAAGGAATCACTCCTAGTTTGCACTTTTCTCCTCCTGACTCCTCAGGAGTCTTTCCTTGCAGGTTGCTATCCTCCCACCCAACATTTCCCTGGGGGCTTTGCTGGCTGTGAATGAAGAGCAGAGGAACCCCCCCCCAGCCTCTTTTTCCACCAAGCTGCCTTCAGCTGGCAACCTACCTGTCCAAAATGCCAACTGCTGGGGAGAGGGATCAAGGAAGCCAATAACCAGTGAACGTGAAGCAAGTCAACATTGTTTGGAGCTGCAGCAGCGGGTCAGAACGACACGGAGGGTTTCTAGTCAGCAAATATTACTCTTGAAACTGGAATATAATTAGCTCCTGCCTCCTCTCTCTCACTTCACGGGTGCCACCCAGCGTGCCAGCAGCACCCAGGGGCTTCTGCAAGATCTCACGCTCAGCCCTGTGATTTTCCAGCAGAAGTAAAGCAATGGGGATCCTCTGGTTCATTCTGGTCTTCAGCTGCCTGACCAGACCCGGTAAGACCAGGAAGGCTGAGGGTGGTAAAGAGAGGGATCTGGGAATAAATGTCATCTTTTCTCACTGTCTAACCAAATCAAAATATACATGGTCAGGGAGAAGGGTGTTCTCAGGTTTCTGGATGAGATAAGGGGTGAGGAACGTTGGCAAAATGCATGATTTAATCCCTTGGGGTAATGCAAAAATGAGCAGGGAAGAAGCTATGAACATGGGGCACCTCACTGCTGCCTGGCCAGAGGAGCTCCACAGGGGATGTCTTGTGCTCTGGGAAGATCTTTCTGCCTTTTCTCAGGCTGCAGCTTCCTCTCTGGTAGGGTGAGAGCAACTGCTCTGACGTCCCACCACAGTGTTTGACAACATCCTGAGAAAAACCACTGCACGATGAGATGTTTGTTGAGTGAGGTTATGTTTAGACTGGATATTAGGAAGAAGTTCTTTACTGTGAGGGTGGTGAGACACTGGAAGAGGTTCCCCAGAGAAGTTGTGGATGCTCCATCCCTAGAAGTGCTCAAAACAAGGCTGGATGGGGCTTAGAACCACTTGCTCTAGTGGAAGGTGTCCCTGCCCATGGCAAGGGGCTGGAACGAGATGATCTTTCAGGTCCCTTCCAACCCAACCCATTCCAGGGCTCTATGAGGCTGGCTCTGCAGCTTGGGGTGTCCAGCACAGATGTCTGAAGCTGTCCTTTGGGACAGGGGTCCCGGGTGTGGCCTTGGCAGCTGTGTGTGATGCTCACAGTGGTACCTGCTGCATCTTACCCCCCAGCTTGCTGCTTCTTTGTGCAGGAGATGCCCACGGACCTGAGACATGCAGCCATGAAGGAGGCTTGTGCCGAGTGGGGTACTGCCTTTCTGGGGAATATCTGGCTGGGTACTGCTTTCACCCCATCATCCTCTGCTGCAAAAGACTGTCACCCACCCCCACAAAAAGCTGAAGAGTTCCAGAGGAGGAAAATGCAGCACGTGGGGAGCTGCGGGCTCCACTGACAAGGGAGGAGCTGCCCCTGGGGTGGAAATTTTGTGCCTTTCTGAAACTGTTGCTCTCCTGGGAGAATGTGGCTGTGGATTCTCTCATGGACTTCTGAACGTTTTGCTTTTTGCTTTCGCTGTGACTTTCTAGCAGACACTGTGACGAGAAGAAATAGGGACCACCCAGACTATTTATTTTCTCTTTTTGTATCTAATCATCACCTGTCATGCACGAGTGAGAAACTGTCTTTCTCCTTACCTGGAAGCAATAAACTCCAAGTTTAACAGAACAGCAAGTGCCCGTCTGTGACTCCTGCTGACACTCAGCAAAGCTGCTGGAAGTGGGACCCTCTGTGGTGGGAGCAGGGTGACTCTTTATTTCCCTTCCCAGAGAAAACAATTGCAATGGGGTTCATTTGAAACTCGAAGAGGGAGATTTAGACTAGAGAGAAGGAAGAAATTGTTGACCCTGAGGGTGGTGAGCCCCTGGCCCAGGCTGCCCAGAGAGGTGGTCGCTGCCCCATCCCTGGCACCATCCCAGGGGAGGTTGGCCGGGGCTCTGAGCACCCTGCTCTAGCTGCAGATGTCCCTGCTCCCTGCAGGGGGTTGCACTAAATGACCTTTAAAGTTCCCTCCCAACCCAACCTATTCTCTGATTGTGTTCTATGATTCCTTTCCAGGCTGTGCCAGGTCTTTATAAGCACCGGGAAGGGCTGGCTGGAGAAATTAAGGCTCAGAAAAGGAGCAGGGATTCCCCAGATGCATGCAGACCCCTTTGCCCATGGGGTTCATAGCAGGAATGTCCCTCAGCCATGCTTCCCCCACCTAGACCACGCGAGGCCCAGCAGGTCTGTCCCAGGTTCATCCCTCTCCCACAATGCACCATGATGAAGGAAAGGCCCAGACTTGCTCGTTTGAAATGGATCTGAAATTTTTGCACCGTTGAGAGGCTGCCCTCCTCATCCACAGCCTGCATTTCTGGTGCTCCTCCTTTCCTCTGTAATCACCAAGCAATCATCCCAAAGCCATCAGTGCGTTTGCACGTGGCAGTTTTCTGCCCATGAGCTGCCTCAGCCTAAATCCATTAGCTGTTCAGATCCACTCTCAGCCCTTCTGTGTTTTTTCAGCATGTGATTTTGACACTCCCCTGCTTTTGTCAGTTAGCTCTTGGCCTCCCTTTCCAGGTAAAATATTTCTCTTTGGGTCAATCATTCCTGTGAAAGCAAGAAAACAATGATGTAATGAGAGAGCTATGCCAGTTAGCTGACACTTTGCTCAGAGCCAGGGAAAAGTCCTCCCTGGGAGATGAAATTCTTGCTGGGATGAGTCAAACAGGAAAATTCCCATTGACCTCACCAGGGTCAAGACCCTTCTCCAGAGGTCCAGCCATTCATTCATCAGAGCTATTCCATTCTCCCATCAGCAGCCCAGCTCTTCTCCCTGGGTCAGCATAACACAGACCTGGCCACCAGCACCTGCAGGGAGATGCCAGCACTCCCCTGGAGATCCCCTGCAGTTGGATGAGCCATCAGGAGAGCCAGAGTACCCAGAGCTGGCTGGCAGCTTGGGAGCCACCACTGAAAACAGAGCTGGGGCTGGATCTGGAGCCAAATTCCTCCCCAGCCCCAGCCCATCTCTCCAACACAAGCTGATGTACAAGTTCAGCACATGGAGGCTTTTAAATGGAGGCACCTGTCCAAACCAAGCAGTTTATTTCTCATGCCTCTTCTCTGGGGGATGCTTAGATGTCATATTCATAGCCTGGTTTCCTAAGAAAGTGAAAGGTGGGCTCATGCAGCTCACCTTGCAAATCTCCCTCACCAGCTGCTGAGCCTTCTGTTCTCTGTACATTTTGGGCTTGTTGGCCAGCCAGATTTCAATCAGGGGAGCTGGAAAGGCTCTGACAGTTTGTAGGCAACGTTGTCCCTATGGCACTAAAGTAAATCAGATCAATTGTCTGAAAAGACATGAAGTTTTTGCCCTCGTGGGAAAAAGCCAAACGAGGAGAAGCAGCCTACTCCCTGCTCACAGTAGAAGGGTTGGACTAGATGGCCTTTAAAGGTCCCTTCCAACCCAAAC